AAGATGTTAGGGGAAACTCTGGCTTCCAAAAAATGGACAGCAGAGACACCAGGCTCAGAGTGACTAAGCACGCGGCTTGACCACATCACAGCGTGGGATTTGAGGATTCACTTTTGGGAACCTCCAGTTTTTGAGAAAGGAAAAGATGTGAAGTGAATACGTGTACACAGAGGCTCCGATGTTTGCTTAAGATTGATTGCTAACCATAGTACTCTAGGTTCCCTGTGTGTGTGCAGCATGCATGGGCCCAATTCAGCTTTGACATATGGGTAATGTTAAAAAAAAAAAAAAAATCAAGACTCCATCCTGGCTCCCTTCCAAGCCAAGCTCTTTAACATTATAGTCTACAATCACTCCTCCTCTTTTCATTCCCATTATTTCTGCATCACAGCAATACGGCTAATTCCTGTACCATACCACATCAACCAAACTTGTTTACATGGCTCCAACCTTCCCATTGCCAAAGACACAGGACATTTTTTTAGTCCTTAGGCCATTTTATTTTTCTTCAGTATTTGATGAAATTGACTACTTCCTACTTCTTGATATGTTATCTTCCCTTGATTCGGATGGTACGTGGCTTGACATTTTCTAAGTTCTCTTCTCATTTCAAGTATTTTTTTAATTGAATGGCTCATCTGCAGCATGAATTATTACAAAAAGTTGAAGTCATAATGTATCTACTTAAGAATTATTTTTGCCATATTGAGCATTACCCCAGGGTCTTTGCTTTTGCAAAGCTATATAGAAAAGCATCCAAAACCATGGCTATTCCAAACAATTTATCTAGGATCAAATTCTAACTGTGCCATTTTGGTGGCTATTCAGAACGGACTTCTCAGAGAATAGACTCAAATATGAAGATTAGTTTGTAGGGTTTTTATTAAGGAGTGCTCTTGAGATTACAACTGTAGGGGTTAAGGAAAGAAGCCCAACTGGGCAAAAATCGAACGAGTTGTGTGTACTCTTATCAAAGCTGACCTCATGGGGACATCTGAAGCTGGAGTGGGTGCTCAGAGTTACCTGAAGCTGGAGAGGAAAGGTCATGCTTTTGTAATCTTGCATCTATCAGTCATTAGTAACAACCTGCCCCCTGGGAAGGGCATCATGAATTTGGGCAACGTGGCTTACTCACCGTAACGGGGCTAAGAGCTGAGGGCTGTTAACAGTACTGCCAGCTGTTAGTGGAATATGTTCTGGTCCTAAACGGAGTCTGGGTGGGGCCTCAGTTTTCATTATCGTAGCCCTAGTAGAGATTATTTAATTTTTCTGTGCCTCACGTTGCACAGCTATAAAACAGGAATAATGATAGTACGTAACACATGGGTTTGCTGTGATTGCTTAAAATGGCACCTGGCACATAGTAAGTGTTGTTTTATTTCATAGCCACTCTCAAGACAGCTACAGAAATAAGCTTGTGTTACAGGGCTAAACTCAACAGATTGCCAAACTATAACCTTAAACTCATGCTAGACTTATGTCCACATTCAACTCATAAATTCTATTAATGCCTTCTTTCATGTATCTTTCTTATTAGTGACTTCTTCTGTAGTCCCAATAATACTCCCCTCACTCAGATTCTAATTTGCTGTCATCTCTTACATTTAGCTTTCAGTCTTTCTCCCTTCCAAACAATCGTTTGTAATAGCTAATGGTCTTCTATGCAAATTCAAATTCATCATTTTCCTTCTTAGAATTTCATTGCCATTAAAACAAAGCAGGAGAAAGACAACGATTTTATCTTTTGCTACTTCCCTCTGTGTAGCTAATTTTCTAGCAACAACTAATAACTTTTAGTTCATCTTATCTGGCTGTTGCTTTGCTCTGGAACCTTAATCAACTGTTTTGTGAGTCTAATTTCTCTCCACATGTAAAATATCTTCTCTTCTATGAAGCTTTCTCCAACTCATATATATGAGTGCATAAACACACACAGACCTTTCTTTCTCTCCTTGTGGAAAAAGTGCTCCCTCTCTCCTCGGCATTATCCACCTCTTTATGTCAGGATGAATGCACCTAACATGATATATCATAATGTGATATGGAGAGCTCTGGAATTGGACAGTCCTAGGTTTAAGTCCTAAAGCAGGTCTATTAGCGGAGTGGCCTTGGACCAATTGCACCCTTGATTTTTTCAGCTTACATTGGAAGATCCATGTCAGAATTAAATGAGAAAATGCATATAAAATGCACAAAGTGTGCACTCGGTATTCAGTACATATGAGTCCTATTGTGTTTATCTGCCTGTCTGCTCCATTTAGTATGAGCTCCTCCAGAGAAAGACCTTGTCTTACACATCTTGGTTTCCTTGACATCTAGGACAGTGTCTAGCATACTAAATGAATAACTTCTGGATAAATGGCTAAGGAAAGGTTTGGTACATATCATTTATCATATTGAAATTGCATGGTAGTGTAAAGGACAGACTTCTGGAAAAAGTAAAATGTCAAGTATGACACTTGAAGAGTTATCATCTCTATTCTAAAATGAGAATGCTTTATAACCTTTTTTTTCCTTTTTGAGAATGTGAAAGTTGTTTCAAAGGTTAATTTGTGTGGTTATGTCATCTCAGATAGATAAACATTGCTTTTCCTTGCTGACAGGAATAAAAATCACAATGGCTAGTTAATGGTAGTAGGGTATTTATTCACTCATTCATCCAACAACTATTTGTTGAGCATCTATGAAACATTAACCATTCTAGGTGCAAGCACTTAGAAAATTAATAAAGATGAACACAGTTCCAGCCCTAACAAAGCCTACAGCTTAATTAGTGGCAGATGACTGTTAGAGCAGATAGTATGCTAAAACCTCTCACAGGGGATGTGCAGATGCTATAGAGTCATGTAGCAGAGGTATCATTTAGCTAGTCTGGAAAGAGTCATGCTAGAGGAGAATATAACACAGTGGTTCAGAGCACAGAGATCCTGAACAGCTTTGTAATTCACATTAAACTTTTAGACTTGGTTCAAGGGCAATGTGTAGATTAAGCAGGACAGTGACAAATCTTGATTGTCATTTTGCAAAGGACTCTCACTGTGACTTCTATAGGGAAGTTGGATTAAAAATGCCAAAACTGAAGCCAGAAAGAACCTCTGGGAATCCACCAGCAATGTGAATGGACACTCAGGCCTTCAAACATGGAATCTGACCTTCCATTCACTATTTGTGTTTCAAAGTATGAATATTGTTGTATTATGGAATAAGGAGTAGGTGTCATTGGTGTTATGGCAGCAAGGACTATGTGACTACACAAGAAAAAAAATATAAAGGAACATTTAGAAGTCATCTTGTCCACCACTCTCACTTTAGAAGGAGAAGTTTTGACTCACAAAAGTCATATCCCACCCAAGTCCCACTCTCTAAATATGATCCAAGTGTTTTGGCTTATACCTTATCCTGAGGGCAACAGAAAATAAACAGAGGATATGTTCCCTAGTTCCAAGGAACTTTGAATCTTGTTGAAGAAGACAAATAACTCTACCTAAGTGACTTGAGGCCAAAGACAAAGAATGAATATAAGGCTAAGTGTGTTTCTGCTGCTCTAGCTAAGCATTCTTCATGCCCTTGCTGATTAATGGAAAATCTTTGTGTCCACTCTAAACAAATCTGTAAAAGTTCATAACCAGCAATAGAGGTTGACCAGGAAGCCTGCTGTTATTATGTCTGAAGAAATTTTAAAGTTTCCCCCTTAGCTATATGTGTAATTTGCAGAAATAGGGATGGGGTAGGAAAAAGTCCTTATTTATCTTCATGGAGCTTTTCTCTATGCAAGGTTCACATCCTATTCAGATGACTGGTTGCTTGGAACCACATATCTACCTCCATGTTACCTGTGCAGACAACGGAATATGAAAGCATGAAGGATAAAGCCACATGGCTGGGTATTATGGAAATATTTTAATTGTGGTCATCATTTTTAATAAGGCTTTAGGTGTATCAGATACATAATATTGGGCATAATGTTTTTACTGCAATAAAAATGTATTTTAAAGCATAAGCTGTTTTAAATTTTTACCATATCACTAATCATTTAATATTTGTAAGGTAACTTAAATGTTTCAAAATTTAAAGAATACAGTCCAAAATATAAAAGTGTGTCAATACCTTGCAGTGGTTTGTATTGGGGCTATATTCCTATGGTTAGTCAGTTCTCCTACTGACTAACCATAGGGATATAAATAGATTACTTATTGTCTCTGTGCATTAATTTCCATCACTAAGATGAGATAATAATAATAGTAACCTCACTGTGGTTGTTGGGAAGATTAAATGAGTCAATACAAATAATGAACTTAGAATAACACTTGGTATATAAATAGTACTTACTATTATATTGTTATTTTTTTTTAATTGAGAAGATAGGGTCTTACCTATCAATAATTTCCATAAAGCTATGAAATGTAGAACTAAACATATTTCCTATTAAAGGCAATTACTACCCTATCCCTCACCTAGAGTTCTGAATTATTATATGGAAATGAATTTATAATTATTCACTCTATTTTATATGAAGATTTCAAAATTCCACTGATAACTCTGGGAGGGAGGGATGGAAGTTGTGAGATAACATCACATGGTTTGGGGCTGTAGTCATCCCATATGGAAACCATATCCAAAGGTTTAGTGTGTTCTTTGGAAGGGAAGCGTAGGGTGGTGACCATTGCATCATATTCCAGACCAGATTAAAGGTCTTGGAGTTGTGGTTGTACACACCCTGTTCTGGGTTGTGTGAAGCCACTCCACAACCAAGGGCACACGGAACTTCCTTCAAAGTTCCATCTCTGAAATATGTAAACCAAATGAAATATCATGTGATCACAAAGGATTATTTGTCACCAGAGTATGGAAGGTTCTCATTCATTAAAACAAATCTTTTGCATATATACTCTCTGACAGGTATTAGGATAGGTATAAGGGTACCGATAAGAAGAAAATACCAACTTTCTAGCCAAGAAAGTTCCCATTGGTGGAGGAAAGAGGCAAGTAATAATTTCCAAGTGCTCGCTTTGGCAGCACATATACTAAAACTGGAACGATCCAGAGAAGATTAACATGGCCCCTAAAAAAAATTCCTAAACAGTACAATAATAGAGGTATGTAAAATCCACATTAAGGAGATGAGGGAAGTGAGAACAAGGTGCCATTTGCCACAGAGGAAGTTGCCCTCAGGGAAGCAGCGAAGTTAATCATCCACTAAGATAGTGTCGTGAGAAGAACATTTTAGTTAGAAAGAATAAAGGCCAGAAATTGTAGTATGTGTTAATCACTGTTAGGTAGTGCCGTATGCCTGGAGCACACAGTTTGAGATGGGTGTTGGTGAGTTCAGGTTGGACAGGGTTTTTTGTCTTGCATGTCTCGCTGGGGAGTTTAGGCTTTCTTCTGTGGATTGTTAGGGACCCTGAATAATTTTTGACAAAACAGCAAACACAATATTATTTTAGAAAGATCCCTCTGTCTGCAGTGTGGAAAATGGCTAGAGGCAAGTCGTAGGCGATTCTTACATAATTAAAATGACCAATAATGAGGTCAACACTTATGCCATGGTGGAAAAGGAGAGAAGATATGGACTGGACATAGACTCCAGTGATAAAACTAAGTCACTGATTAGCTTGAAGTGTTAGATGAACAAGCAGAAAAGTAGAAGTCAAAGAAGATCACTCTATTTCTGATCTAAGTAAATCAGTTGGTGAACAGTGGTGCTTATAAGTGCCAAGGGACATGGAGTGGCAGGCTCCATGTATGTTGAAGGCAGGGCAAGACCATTTTCAAAGTGTCCTCCCATTCCCCTGTGTATTACTGGAAACATTTCTCCTGGTTGTCCAGAACTTCTGTCTTCTGGTCATGTTAAAAGTTAATTCAGAAAAATGGTAAATAGGAAAAATAATTATGGATAGATTTCTATGATCTATCTTGACCTTAATTCAACTTGCAATGAAAACTGAGCATTCACAGAAGATAAACGTAATTTTTAAAGCCCAGGGATGTCACATCTTAGTGACTAAGACTTTGATTTGGAAAGCATTGAATTAATGATGATAATAATAACTGATATTAAATTGACACATTGTGAATCAAGCATTGCATTAAGCTCCTCACAGGCATTGTTCTATTTAAGGACTACCACGTGTGAATCAGGCAAGTACTATTATTCCTCCCATTTGACAGATGGGGAAATTTGAGGCTTAGAGAGATTGATCACTTGCTGTTAAGAAGTTATCCAGAATTCAAAGTCTTCCCACGTTGTGAAAAGAGTACAGGATCGGGAATTCAGAAACCTGGCTTAGAGCCCTAATTTAGTTATTTATTGGCAGGGCAACAGTCACGTCACTTTTTTTTATTAATCTGTGAAAATATATATCAAGGGATGGGTTGCTAGGGAAGGGAGAAATTGGAAAAGTTGAAATCAAAGACCCCTGTAGCCCCTTCAAGCATTGACATTCTATGGTTTTTGACTGTGCGTAACAGAGTGTTCATTCTGGTAGTGGCTCTGAACTCAGAGAGATACGGTGGCTGATCTATACCTTGCACTGAGAGGACAGGCATGTTGCTGAAAGGAAGTGAGACCATTGCTCAATAAGTGTTATCATTGGTTATACATCTATCAAAGGTCCAGTCCTGCCTATGGTTTTATTCCCCAGCCTGGGAATTATTTCGGTTGTTGCTCTTTCCTTGTTAGGAAAATGAGTGAGAACTGTTTCTCTGTGGGAGGAAAATCTTATTCTCCCATAAACAAAGGTTTTCTTGGGCCTCATCTGTTTTAAAACAGTCCAGAAAGGGACTTTTTGTGATGTGTTCTCTTGAATTTTGTCACCTCTCTTTTATTGTGTAGTTACACTGCCCAAATATGAGAGAATAACAGCTACTCTAAGTAGAGATTTGGAGATTATGAAGATTTCCATGAAAGCCACAGAAAGGATCTTTTCAAGCTGCAGATGGGGGTCAGAAAAGTGAGGGATGACGTTATTAGCAGTTTCTAACTTTGGTCTTTTACAATTGCTGGCTTATTTGGGTATAGGCAAGCCATTGGAGATTTTGGTAATTTCCTTAATCAGAGATTTTTAAGAAGTGGCCCTTTTAGTCATTTAAAGCTCTGTGACGTTAGTTCTGCTCTTGAGGTTTAAAAGAAAAGGCATAAATATTGAAGTCACAACACTGGCTCTGTTGCTTTTTAACTGTGTGGTCCCAGATAATGTTCCTGAGCCTCATCATTTCTCATCTGTAAAATGGGAATCAAAATCTTCATTTCGCAGGTTTAGCATGAAGTTTAAATATAATAAAATATGTAAACCACTTAATCCAATGCCTGGCCTAAATTAGATAGATGAGAACTAGTCACACTGCTCAAAAATAGCAAAGACTAATAATCTGAGTTAACAGAAGTAATACTAATGCATGGTATTTCCTTTTCATTGGGCAAGACATCTACAAAACATTTTCTTCCACCTTGCCTGTTTAGGCTCTTTAGAGCACACATGAGTAACAATAGCAACAGATGCTGCATCAATAAGCAAGCAGAATGGAAAATAATTAATGCAATATGCTTGCATGCATGGAAGTTTCATCAGAAATTACAATGCCTTTGATATGAATTCTTCTAGAAGGCTATCTGAGCTTAGGATGGCTTTGTATTGCATTAACTATTATATTGTGTACATGCCAGAATATCTTCTGTCTAGGGTTGGCTGTTATTATTTGTGAAAAGCAGAAACAGGGAGAAAAGATATGAAACTGTGCTGGATTAATGAGTACCTGAAGCATGGACAGAATAGTAATATAGTTTGTACAAAAATGGGCTGACCCAGCTGAGCTCAGCTATCAAGCCTATCTGTATACATGAGGATGTTAATTTCCAGTGAAAAACTTGGGTGGATGCCAATAATTTCTGGGAAAAGGAAATAATATTATACAGATTCCTTCTCAGAGATCTTCGCTGTCCACAGAGAAAGCCTTCCTGAAAAGACAATTATTTCCTTCTTTGGCTCATCTTTGAGGATTGCCTGGGCTAGGTCATTTGGTACCCAAAGACCACCACAAAGTTCAGAGAGGGTAGGAGGGGCCTTCCCTTTAAATTCTTGGTCAACCATTCACATTTTCCAAAAGTTAGTTGACAATTACAAGGTTCGGGGACTTGCAGTTATAATTGTATTGCAAAAATAATAAGAAAGGAAACAAGCCGAGGTTATGCTAACAGGCATTCGGTGGCTGTCAAGATATGTGGTTCAGCCTTTGAAGTCAGTTTCAATAGATTTTCATTTGAAATAAGTGGAGTAAAATGTTCCCATTTCAAGTTTTGCATGTAATATCCTTTTATGTACGGATGCTGTTTCTTACAAATTTGTTTTACGGAATTACTTTATTTTCTCTGAATGGCTACTATTGTGGAAATTAGTATTAAGCTAAGCAAAATAGGGGATTGAGATTACATCTTTATTCCTATTATTTTTTAAATTATTTAAATTATTTTAAACATATGGTTTTTATAAAAAAACAAGACAGATGCAGAAAGCTAAAAGGATGTGAAGTAACAACTTCCCTTCCCTAACATCTCTTCCCAGAGGGTTCCCTTTCAAAACTTTTTCCTACATGTCAAAGAAATCCCCTGGAAAATTTTATGTGTAGACCCACTCTCATGCATATTGTTCGTTACACAAATAGCTATAACGCACTGCCAAATACTTTGATTTCTCACTTAACATATCTTGGAGACTCTTCAATATTGTTAGGTACAGATCTACTCTATTCTTTTAACATCTTCAAATCTGTTGTTTGGAAGTGCCATAATGTGTGTAACCAGTGATTTCTGTCTTTTGTCACTGTAAATAATGCTGTGATCAACATTGTAAATTCTTTGCATAGGATTTCTGAGAAAAAGGGTAAGTGAATTTTAAAATTTGATGTAGTAATTAAGTTCCTACTAAGAGTATTTGAGAGTCCTTAATCTAGTCTGGTATTAAATTGTCTCTATCTGTGTCTCCTCCTCTACCACCTTGTTGTAAATGCGGTATCAATCCATAGCAAAATGAATAAAGGAAGGAAGGAAGGATGGAAGGAAGGAAGGAAGGAAGGAAGGAAGGAAGGAAGGAAGGAAGGAAGGAAGGAAGGAAGAATAGAAACTTAGGCTACAAGAAAGGTGTTATTTTAGCCAGGCTCCAACAGGAAATAGAAGACACAGGCAAAATAGGATAATTGACGAAAGAATCATTTACAGAAAGACTATTTACAAAGATGCAGGTGGATATAGGGGAAACCCATGGAATTATGCAATAACCCAAAAGTAATAAATATATATAGTGGCTGGTTGTTACCATCCATAAGCCATTATAGAGAGAGAAGGGAGCAGATACTGGATCTCAAAAGGCACCATGCAGAGGAATGGTAGCATTAAGAGGGGGATCAATATATCATAAGAGTCCAGGGTCCTGCAATGTTGTTATGCTTCCCATTGACTTAGCCAAGTAGAAGCCAGAACACATGTCCTTTGATGGGGTTCATACTGGTCAGATTTCCAAGGCAAAAAGGAAGGTTGAAAAGAGTGAAAGGTAGATTCAAAGGGACAAAGAACTCAAATTACCCCACTACAGGTGTTATTTCTGTCATCACTAATTTCAAGAATGACCCATCACAAACCAGACAAGAACCCATACAATTTTACAACTACTTATAAGCAAAGTCAGTGATTTATTTTGGTCAACTGTTATCTTGTCCATTATCTAATTATCTTATTTTATAAGTTATCTGAGAGGAAGGTCCATATTTAACTCATTCCTCATACTTTCAGCCAAACCCAGAACAGTTCCTGACACAGATGAAGCACTTAATTAATTGTTGAATAAATATGTGAATAAATAAATGCCAGAAGAAAATGTTTCTTATCTGTGAACTTGTCATTATGTAGTGTTGTTTAAGCCAATGTCGTCATTGTTCATGTATTGCTCAGCACTGTTTGGGGGGCGGATTTCCTTCTGGAGAAAACCGAGGCTCTAATGCCTTCATGAGAGATCAGCTGAAGTCATACTTAGCTCTGCTCTTCCAGTGGGTTCTCCTATATAGGAAGTCCCAAGGGGATGGGACTTTACTTACATAGGGGGCTTATGTACGG